CTTTTCATATGAGTGGTTTTTATTATTACTGGTCCCATAAACCCTTTCATGCACCCTGTAACCTGATCAAAGAAGCTGTCCACTGTCGTAACCGCTGTCCCTGAAAGGGTTCATGGCAGAAAATGATTTGAAATGATGTCAAATGTCTCGCTCTTCTTTTTCTATGATATTCCATTCGACTAGCTTTCAGCGTAGCAGGAAGGAGGCAAATACAGCAGATTACGATCAGTGTTTTTATTCACGGATAATTTCATCTGTCCGACCGAGCTCGGCTCAACTGAAGCGAGTGACTTTATCGTCGACAAGTGGAGATTGAGGTTTAATGCACATTTAATGCAACAACAGTTTAAAGCGATGGAAATGCAAGTGTTTTTTTTTTTTTTTAAATAAATATGTCATCAGTATCACTTGCACTCTTTTCATAATAACCATCAGTGAGATTATAGCAACAGCACTCCTTTCATGTAAGATAATAATAATAATAACAACAATAACAATAATCTCTTTCATGGAAGAAATACATACAATACTGGCTCAGGGCCAGTAAGCTACGTCTGTTCTCGGAGCTGCAGATTAAAGGGCGCCACCACTCATGGACTTTACATCCAGCACCTCCAGTCCACTGTTTACCATCTGCCTTTGTGCACGTCGACTGTGTTTGCCATCTGTGCACTTTAAACCTTCACAAATGTTTCAAACACTCTCGGCGAGTTCTCATCAGAGATGAGTACGGTCGTGGAGCTGATGTGTGATTGCGTGCGGGGGGGATCTACGGCATGGCGTTTATTCACCGCAAGCCGTAACGTTACGCATGTCAGAGGCAAAGGGCTAATCCGCCGTTGCTGCCAATAGATTACGCTGTTGTGGCGTACTGCATAATTTACTGTATTGCGTACGATGGTAATTGTGGGGGGTGGCAATCGAACCGTACTGAGAGTAGCAAAAATCGGCAATTGACACCCAAACATAGGTTTGTAAATACTGTACACAAATGACAGCAAAGCACTTTTTTTTTCAATCAGGCAAAGCTATGACTTGCCGAAATGAAACTCCGACATCTCACTTCAATGTAGTTCCTTAGTCCCGATGATGGAGGTTCGCCCCAACATCTTGCGCTATAATTTACTTAATTGCCTTGCTGTACTGTGTACTACACAATACGATACAATTCATTTCTGTGCTCCGCCAACTTTTTTGAAACCGGGAGCCACTTCCTGGATGCTCATTAGCGCGAAGGGCTACCATTTGCCGCCCGCTTCAGAAGGAACAAAGTTGCTCGGATTCCTTTTTAATGGCGTTGTTGCTTGCCTTATATGTATTTGTGAAAACGCTGATTATGTTGATGATTTCTCACCATAATTAGGAAACATAACCATCAATATGCATGGCTATTTCTCTAGGTCTGTGCTGGTCAACAACATACCGATAAAACCACAATGTCCTATGACTGCGATTTTTACAAGAGGCCCGCAAAGTCTCTTGTGGTTATTGGTTATTGTGGTTATTGAGTTACTCAGTTACTATACTGCCCTGTATTTTATTAGGGTGACATTATTATTCCAGTGCAGCATTGCCCACATTTGGTCCTCGAGGGCCCCTATGCCGCCTGTTTTTAGCTGTGTCCCTTTTCCAAAGCACCAGCATTATTTGGCTGTTCGATGCTGTACCTTAAAAAAAAAAACAATGAGATCCACCAGATGGCGCCACTGACCCGTCACTTGCTTGAACCCGAAAGCGGGTGAAACCTGTTGGACCAGCTCGGTTGGGTTCAGCCCTCGATAATGGAAACACATTTTGGCCAAAATGAGGGAGAAGTGTAGAGTTGCTTGCTTGTTATGAATTGGACCACAGTCAAGAAACAGCATCACCTTTGGATGCTTTTTTTATTAACTGTCAATTGTAAGGCCATAGCCTTAAATCCAGTAGCTACAAAAAAAAAAAAAAAAAAAAAGGTCGCCTCGTGTTTAGACTGAGGTGTACAATATTGATCATGGTTAGACATTGCAGTGGTGCAGTCAGAAGTGTGTCGAATGTTTCGGCAACCTCATTTAAACTATCCAAAGTTCGATGGTCTTTTTTTTTTTTTGTCCATGTCTGTAATTCTGATTCATTTTGTTTGCATTGGAAAGAAATGAACTCCTTAAAAAGGACGTTTCGAAGTGGCCCCAAACCTGATATACGTCACTGCTTTTCTTTTTTTATAACTGAAGCTATTTGATCCCAAACTTTCAATGATGAGCTTACCTGAGTTAAAATATTAGGAACAGCTCACAAAAATGAAGGTTGCTGTTTCGTGCATGGCCTCTCAACCTAATGTTTGGGGATCCTCTTGCTGTCGCTGCAGGTCTGCAAGATCATTCGCAATATATTGAGCGTTTAAAACAAAAGGGTAAACAGGGTGGCAGCTAATAAATCAAAAATGGCACGCCAATTATTCCTCCATACCTGAGCTTCAGGCCAATTAAAAGCAATTTGATTGTGACATCAGCTAAATCTGACATCCATGCGTGATTTACTTTTTCTAATAACACTAATTGCCACAGTAATAAAGTCCTATTTTACCCCCCACCGAAAAAAATCAAAAATTCCCAGAACTGTTTTAACAAACTACAAGTTTACCTCTCGTCAACTATAGCACGTCTACAAAGACATCCTGGCATTTTTGCGATGTTCAGTGCGTGAGAAGAGGCAAGAGTTACGCCAAGACAGCTCGTGGCTGCCTCACCATGCTGGCAGTGCCTCTCAATGCCTTGAGCATCTTACAGTTCCCGCCAGAGAACATTACTGTGCTGGAGGGGGCGACCTGCGCCAGCCATTTTTTTCCCCTCTTGTGTCAATCTTTTATGACGTCACTCCTGAAGCTTTTTAGCATAAATTAGCATTTTTTTTACACATGAACTTGAATATTAACTTTATAATGGAAAATGACTATTGTCATAATATTATGACTTTTTCTACTGACCCCCTCAAACTGATGTTTTTTTTTAAATTATAAATCAAAACCAAACTTTTTATCAGAAATTTTGACACTCTTGATCAGGGGAGTCAAACTCATTTTTGTCGTGAGCCATATTTTAGTCACCGTTTCTCTTGGAGGTCCATTATGACTGAACCCATATAAAGAAGTCAAGAATAACGGTTTACTCCACTTTTGTTTAAGCTACTGGGTTTGGTTACAAGAAAATGCTGACAATATCCTTCTTATTTATTACAGATGTGAATTTTAAAAATTTGGTGCAGATTTTAGCTAGTATCATGGAAGTTGACATTTTTGATTTGCTTTTGCGGGCCGCGTAAAATGAGGTGGCGGGCCGGATCTGGCCCCCGGGCCTTGAGTTAGACACCTGTGCTCTAGATAGTGTGTGTGTGTGTGTGTGTGTGTGTGTGTGTGTGTGTGTGTGTGTGTATAATAAATTAGAATCATTCTTTGACGTCTTCAGTCAGCACCTTTAGCTGAGTTGTAATTGTGCGTTCAAAGGACTTAGAAGGCCGTCCAAATCGTCGTGATCATCCGGACCAAAACTTGAGCTTGAAGTGAGGTCTGGCTCGGGGCCGCCGAGCGGACTGCAGACGCCCGGCCGCCGGTCGCGCAATAAAGTGCAGATACGCGCGCGAGAGGGGCGCCAGGTGAGCAATAACCTCAACCCTCAACGTCGTTCGGGCCTCAGTTGAGACAGAGCGACGACGTGTTTGCATCCCCCCCCCCACCCAGCGCCAGCCTCGCTGCACATTAACCAGACGACATACAAATAAAGATAGACACCTGATAAACTCTTGACTCCGAGCTGGAGCCATTAAAAGGAAAGGAGAGGACAGTTTTTTTTCCCTCCACCTTTTTTCAAAGTCACATTCGAAAGTCCAATTACATTCTTGTTTTTTTTAGAGGTTTGTTTGCTAACATTGACCTTTTCGTAACAAAAAATATATACATTTGCTTTTAACAGCGCAGAAGCACATTTGCCCTTGAAATAAATCCAATTTCCTTTCTTAACCCCCCCAAAAAAAAAAGTCTGCTGAAGCAACTGAGCGTTGTCGTAGCAAGAATATAGCTAATAATGGAAAATAGTTAAATGAAATTATTTGAATTTAGTTCGTAGTTGTGGGAGGTGTGTCAAGTGTTTCGTCAGGTGAATCCAACTTTATTGACACATCCAAGTGATCAAGGCTGCATGGGTGCGTGCGTAGTGTAAAATGACACGGATAAGTAAAGGGACATTTCAACGTTTTATTGAAACTTTCAAGAACACGATGTCGATGGTGTAAACTAGACAAAAAAAAAATTTCGATAGGCTACAACATAACCCAGCGTAAGAAACACAAAAAGAAAACGAAACCTTCATATTGTTTTTTTTATTATTTTTTTTGTCTTACTTATTTTTTTAAGATTATACGGCACTTTTAACGACCAGGTGTACAAATTTCCATAACAGAAAAAAAGATCCACTTTTTTTTGTCCAACTTTAACACTTGTTTTGCATTTCTAAAAAAGAAGAAAAAATATTTTTTTAAAGATGTTTCAAGCCATTAGTGCGGTGCGTTCGTTGTCGCCTTTTTCATTCGTTGAAAATAATTAACACACACACACACACACACACACTCGGGCACACGCAGAGACAGAGCGACGACGTGTTTGCATCCCCCCCCCCACCCAGCGCCAGCCTCGCTGCACATTAACCAGACGACATACAAATAAAGATAGACACCTGATAAACTCTTGACTCCGAGCTGGAGCCATTAAAAGGAAAGGAGAGGACAGTTTCACACACACACACACACACACACACACACACACACACGAACAACAAGTGAAAAATACAATGGCACATGAGTGTGAGTAACTAGCTGAGTGAATATTAAGGGTGGACTAAAATCCATAGTTGAAGAGTTTGACAAGAGAGACGATAATAAATGGAGATGGCAACAAAAGGATAATAGCCACAAACTACCATTACACAGATATATCCACAATAAATTAACAACAGATCCCTAGGACAAACTACTTTTTTATTTACACGCAACAATATGAAATAATTATACATAAATATTTTATATACTCATATGTACATGTAGACTCAATACTAACTTTCATGTTGTTATTGTTGTTGTTATATATTTGACTTTTCTGCTTCCCTTTGCCTATTGAACATTAATTACTCTTGGGCCTTTATTTTTTACCCAGAGCAGTTTTGGGATGGAAAAGAAACAAACAAACAAACATACAAAAAGAAAGCAATTCCAATTGAAGATGTATATTGTGAAAAGAAATGTTTCTCCCCCCACCCACTGTTTTAAAGAACATTCACGATAGGAGGAGGAAGGGGGAGGACATGCAACTTTTTTTTCTTTTTTTTTTTAGGGGGGGGGGCAATTGGTTAAAATTGAAATTGTACAATAAAATACAGCAGTCTCTTCAAGGTAGGTCATGTTCACTGGTAGTGGAAATCCAAAGGTGTAAATTCAGAGTGCATATTGGGAAGAAGTATAAGAAATTAAAAAAAAAAACCCAAAACATTTCGTCGTGTACTATGCAGTTAGGCGACAGCAGCAACTTCAATTCGTGAAGTCTCACCCATTTGACCACTTTGCAGTTTCAATACTTGTACGGTATTACAAAAAAAAAGACAGGTTAAGTGTTGTTTTTTTTTAATTTAAAAAGAAAAACAATACATATCAGATGTGTATTAAACCAAAGTGCATTTCAGAAACTCAACTAGGTTTCTCTCGAAAGACCCGCTATGAACAAAGTCCTCCTGTTGTCTTTCAAGATATTTGGGAAATGACAAGAAATAAAAAGCGTGTGAATGAAAAAGGGAGGGGAACTCCGTTTGACTGCACTTTGCACTTGACTCGCGCTTGGCACGCAACTAGGGCCCATCTCATCTTATTTTTCCGCAAACTTCCGCTTGATTTCCGATTTTTCCAACCTCGGGGACATTTGCCGTCGGAGGCTGGGCTGTGCATTGTATTGCATATTAATTCCCAACACGCCAGAGGGAATTAACAAGTTAATCTTGAGATTACACCCGTAGCATAAGCACGCACTTAACATAAGACATCCATCTGTTGCGCGCCGCGACGTCCTGGAAGACTTTTTAAAAACGACGAGCTATCACGCTGAGATTTATTCAACGCGACGCTCGCCACAACCCGTTTGAAACCGACGACTGTTATCTACAAGTGTGAAACACGCAGGCACACTCGAGCAGTGACAAAGAGGAAGGGGGGGGGGGGCCCCCCCCCCCCCCCCCCCCCCCGCCCCTCCCTTTCCTCGTTCTCCTCAGGGCGACCCACTTCTCGACCTGTCCTGGTTTGAGTCCAGCCCGCTGACGAGGCGCTGGATGCTCTGCAGCTCGTTGGCGCCCTCCTTGTCCGCGCACAATTTGGGCGACACCGAGCGACTCGTCACCTCAGATGTGGACGAGTCGAGCTGGGCCGACGCCGGGCTGGCCGGCACCAGCACGTCCCCCTTTAGCTCCGAGGCCGAGGCGGCGGCGGCGGCCGTGCTGAGCAGCGTGCTGTCCGGTACAGTCATGGGGAGCGAGTAGGGGTTGTACCTGAGGCGGGGGCGCACCGCGTTCAAGAAGGGGTGCCGGTGCACCGACGATGATGATGAGGATGAGGCGGCGGCTGCGGAAGAGGCTGCCGCGGCTGCCGCCATGTACGTGTACGGGTAGGGGAACAGGCTTCCGAAGGGGGACATGGCCAGACCCTGCGAGTGGCAGACAGAGAGAACAGAAAAATGCAAAATCATCAATTTCTCATATCTTTGCGATTTATACTTTTCGTAAAAGGAACATTTTTGTTTGTTTGTTTGTTTTCCTGTCAATAGAACTCCCAAGCACACTACAAATGTCATTTCAAGCAGTGATTCTCAAAACGGTGTCGTCAAAAGAATCCCTTGGTTCAAAATCTGACTAAAATATAAGGTTTAAAAACATGATATATATATATATATAAATAATAAAACAGTGGAAGGATGCTTGGCTGTGGAAAAAGAGAGTTGAAACTATTTTCAGTCCAGTATATAGCACTTTTCAGGTCCAGCACTGTTCAGTTCTCTTTAACTTTGAAGGACATACCCATAAGGATGAAGCTTGTAGCTTTGGAAAAAAGCCCGTTTAAATTTTTTTTTTTTTTCTAATCCACCACAGTTACTTTACTTTTCATGCAGTAAACATTGTGTAACGTTCAGTTGTATTTAACTTTAAAGTACATTTTGGGATGAAGCTTGTAGTTATGTAAAAAAGGCCTACAGTATGTTCATTGCACCCCCAATGGTCGACACGCAGCAGTCTGATTAATGTTGCTGGAATATGAGTTAAGCGGCAATATCTGCTTGTTTTTCCACATCTGAGTGGGCGGCCATTTTGCCACTTGTTGTTGACTGAACATGACATCACACTTCCTCAGGTCACAGGTAAGGATGAATCACGGCTCACCTTGTTTTCGAAATTTGGTCATGTGATGTTCACAAGCTGAGCCATGATTGATTTTTATTGATTTTTTTTTCCTTGAGTGACAGTGATATCTCTTTCTAGAAACAGCAAGTGACAAAATCACCACAACCTGATACGGTTAAAATCGGTTGCATTTTGCTGCCTAATAACACAGGATTTTCCGCCAACGCAACACCAAACAGAATGCTGTTTGGACTAGTTGGGCTGCATCAAACATTTTCTTGTATTCTTGAACCCTTTCAGGGACAGCGGTTGCTTCAGTGGACAGCTTATCACGCTATCAGGTTACAGGGGGCACGAAAGGGTTAATGACAGTCAAGTTGTATTTAAGTACATATTAGCATGGCGCTACTCTGGCAAAAAAAAAAAAAAAGACTATGAAATACAACAGACCTCACTTGACAAATGGACGAAACGGGCGGGGGGTGGCCATCTGGAATTTTCTGAAAAATATGTTAATTTTTCCTTGAACGGCCAAGGGTCATTTTCGGGCCGGTCCTGGTCGCGAGCAACTGTCCGCCCACCCCCTCTCGCCGATTATTTTTCAGCACGTGACGGCCACAGCTAGTCGACGACAACTTTTCAAGGCATGACGGCCAATGTATTCACACACACATACGGAATATGGATTTTAATGAACTATTGTCGTTCACTATTTCTTAACCCCTTAGCCTATGTCCTGATCAAATAATACAGGAGAATTTCCGTAGCTTTTTGCGAATGCAATTTTCAAAACTGCATGTCAATTTCTCTTTCGAGGAGTATATATTATTTTGAAAGGTTTTTTTGAGTACAGTCACTATTTTGTTTGTTTGATCCTTATCATTGACAGAACTTGGATCCAACTGCAATTTTTATTAAATTGCTTTGTAAATAAAGTGAAAGTCGAGTTCGTTCAGTCGATTCGTCAAACCAGACATGACATAGGGCAGGGGGGCGGGGAGACATTTTCTCATCGTGGCCACAAATTCGGTCTAGTGTGCATACTGACTCCACACGAATATTCATTTTATTTCCGCAGAGTTGCTTGAAGCAAAGAGGACATATATTGCAATCTCGAGCAACATGGGCTTACCCAGATGTCCAAGTTATTGAATGACATCATCCCCTTCAAATTAGTGTTTCATATGCATGCTCCACCTAATTCTGGGCCACAAATTAGCATTTTGTGGCCACAATTTAACCCTTTCATGCACCCTGTAACCTGATAGCATGATAAGCTGTCCACTGAAGCAACCGCTGTCCCTGAAAGGGTTACATTTCTGTAAGTCGAGATGCTGAATACCTCCGCCAAGGAAAATTGCAATCGCAAATCAGATAAAAATTAGACATCAGAGAGGTAGCTCTTGGACTAATGTAAAGAAACATGGCTTTCTGGAAATTGGATTCAATTAAGAAAATTTTTTGGGGGTGGAAATTGGGTATCGTAAGATATGCGGCAAGCCGTGGCCTGGGACTTAGGGGTCGTGAAGTAACCAAAGGGTCATCTGTTTGAATCCCCACTCTGTCGGAGTCGTGTGTCGTCGTGTCCTTGGCCAAGACCCTTCACCTACACTGGTGTACGGCTGGGAATATTTGGTAGTTGTCGGAGGGGCCGGAGGCGCATACCGGCAGCCACGCTTCCGTCAGCCTGCCCCAGGGCAGCTGCGGTTACAGAACATAGTTTAGCGCCACCAGAGCGTGAATATGTGAGTGCATAAATAATATAGCCATTGTGAAGCGTCTTTGAGCGTCCAGAAAAGCGCAATGTCAAACTGGAGCAGCATTATTATTATGATATGGAATTCTTTGGAACGTTATAAATGAAAAATATTTTCTGGAAAATTGGATTTAAAAACAGATGTCATATCGGTAAAAGGAAGCGGAAAACATGAAAATCCAATATTGGCAAAACTGCTGCCAAGCCCGAACAGTGCTTAGTAAATAGACAAAATGAGGACAAAAAAAAAGTTCCTCGAAATGTAGACTAAAGTGGAAGGAAAAATTCCAAAATGTAATGACCACCAAAAATTGTCTGCCTTCATACCGTGGATTTCCTTCTCTGCCCCACTGTTGCGATTGTCAAACCCAAATCAAGTCTGGGATCTCACACCTTTTTAAGTCGCTGTTTTTGTTGGCCTGAGACACTTCATGCCCCGCCCTCCAGCAAGTGTGGTGGAAATCTCTTAAGTAGTTTCAGTTAGCACATAAAAGAAGCCATTATACTGTCATTGGCAACGAGTCAACATCATTTCACAGTTGGCCAAAACGCATTCCGTCCCTGCCCGACCGCATCTTTGTGACGTACGCGAGACACTTGCTGCTTGAGCAATCCCTCAATGGACATGGGATGCCAGATTGTTTGTTTTTGTGTGCTCGCTTTGTCTTTGGGGGACATGTGCAGTGATTGGGATGCAAACCAGAAACACTTTTTAGCCTCTAAAATTTGTGATAGCAGCAGCTACAATTTTCTTCTACTCGCGCCGGTGTAACCTGTACATTTGCTGATTTTTCTTCTTTTAATTTTTTATCTTAAAATTGGGGCACAAAAAAATGTCTGTTTGGAGCCATCTTCAGGTTAAACACTGAACTGCATGTGAATTTAGCGGTACAAAGCGGACCGGAAGACTAGCAAGAAATCCTGACGAAGTCACTCCGCCACCTCGGAAGGTATGAACAGCTCAGTCTCGTACATGCCCCCCCATGGCAAGTTGGAATCGTAGCGCTTATATCGGTTATCACGTTATTGATTTATTAGCGTAACATTCGGTTTGTTTATTTAGCATTGCTTGTCGTGGTATAGAAATGATTTACATTGTCGTTTCACTGATGCTGTCAATCACAGCCAGACCACGCCCAGCTTTCCTCCGCCCCCACCCCTCTCGCCAGCCCGTTGGTCGTCCAGGCAACCCCCCCTGCCACTTTCAAAAATTAGTCAGGGGTTGAGCAAGAGTCTAGGTGAGTTATGCTATATACTCCAATGCCAAGGGTGCTGTGGCCCCCAGGGGGCACCGTGAAAAAAAAAAAAAAAATCACGATTCATATCATTGCAGTTAGCGAAAATCGGCCTGTAATTGCTACCCACAGTCAATGCACAAAAAAAAAATGACATCATTATTGTCTTATAAATTAAAGATATTCCCTATGCTAATTTTTTATATAATACTGACGTTTTTTTTAAACCCTCAAATTCTGATAAGTCCTTATAAATCATTAATGAGCAGAGTTGATCCTCCCCCCCAATTTTTTTTCTTTGACGATTAAAACTTTTGTTTTTTTTACATTTTGGAATTAAAAAAATGGTGCACAGCTGAAGCCACGAGACTGCAGCGGTCTGAATATTAAAACTGGTTATTCGTACAACTTTTTAACAGGGAAATGTAGCTTCGGTTTAAGCGTGAAGCAATTCTGGCAAATGATAATACCAGAAAAATAGCACTCCCCCCTCCACCCCCACCCCCTTTCCTGCTTGCTCTCTTCGGAGTGGGGAGGCAAATTTGTTGTAGTGACCGCAGAGAACTTTGTCAACATGTCAAAAGGACCTAAACTGTCTGGAGCATGGGGATTAAAAAAAAAAAAGTGCAAGACGTAAAATTACAGTCAATGAAGCATCACTCAAATCGCGTCCGTTATTTTTTTAGCAGTGTGCTGTTGAAGGGGACGGAAGCGTTTTGCTGCCACACTAGAAAAACAAAGTTCAACATCACGTTATTACAAAGTTAATTTAACATTTTAACATCCTGATTCAATTAAAATGTGTCAGGTTTTCATGTAAAAATGATCAGCGAACTGGAAGGAATTGCTTTGTTTTGTTCTGCCGAATGCGGTAGCCCAACTTATGGTTATTTTATTTTCTCATCGAACTACTTTTCTAGTCTGTGGGACCAAGCTTACGTCGATGAGGGACTTTGCAATTTTACACACACACAAATGTTGTGATTTACAATTAACAGTACTACATGAAAAGAAAATTTAAAAGTCAGCTGTCTGTTCTTATGCCATCTTGTGCCTCTAATATGCAAGACACCACCGCGCCCGAGGAAAAACAACCAGATGGAGACAGAAGTCACAACAAACAAGGACTCGTGGACATACTAATCACTGGCTCCGACCTGTTGATCCAAAAATTGGATTTACTTAATTCAATCACGTAGGCCCACATCGATTGCACCTGATTAAAATATGCTAAAGTGATGTCATTTTTCCCTCTTTTCCTCAAAAATAAAGACGTGTTAACTTATCACATTTTGTTGAGCGTACCTGTGCAACAAATAGTGAGCACCCGATGTCACTTCTTGCGTCCCTGACTGGTTGTTGATTTTTTTTTTTTTTTTTTTGGTGGGGCGGGGGTGTGTGGGGTGGATTGCATATGTCCCCTTTAAATTGCTCACGTGATTCTAAGCGGTTCGACTAAATCAGCAATATGATCATTGGTAAAGAACCCCAAATTATGATGTTATAGCAAATAATAAAACAAATGTACAATGAAGTGTTGCACCATGAAAAATCTCCCCCATGCCGCTTTCCATATTTTTCACGTCCATAGTGGGTCTGCGTTCCCGCGACGCAAGCAGCTTTCCAAACTGTGTGGCCGATTCGTGGAAATTGGTCTTTGCAAATGTATAATCCGCCTCTTGTAATCCGTAAATTGCAGATGTGTTGTTTTTTTTTTTGTCTTTTATTGCTTCCGACTCACATAATCCTTCAATTGCAAGTGTGCACTGTTTGTACTGTTTGAGCTCGCTGCCGACGTTTCTTCATCAGCGTCAAAAGCTCTCCACCAGCCAGGAGTAAGCAATACTGTCAATACGGAGAGCGCGTTGAATGTAAATCGCAAGCGTTTTATTGAATGGATGGATTAAAAACACTTCGCTTTGATTGCGTCAGCCTTTTTAGAGGCCAAGGGGGTCAAAACGGGACGAGTGGAATCGACTGTGGGAGTGCCAACCGTCTTTAGGGGCGCAGTTACAGTCTTGCCCCGGGGCCCTTGGCAGCCTGTGCCGTACGCCGCCGCATGTGTGGATCAAAACAAGCGTGTGCGCTGCCTTCTGGAGAGTCACACGTTTTTATCGCCGCGTATTAACACACCTAGAGGTGAGCACCTTTTGCAATACGGCGTCCCGTGGCCAAGCGAGCGAACCCCCCGGCAGCACTGCGACTGCATGTAAACAGCTTTGCCTGAGTTGAAGAATTTCTAATGCGTCTTAAAATTCCTCACGTCTGCACTCGAGCGAGACGCCTTGACGACGTGTCGGGCCATAAACTGGCGAAACTGACACGTTACCCGTTTCTGATGTTTTGCTTACCTTGTTTAGCTACAGGGGCAACACTTGAGGCAGTTCTACCCGGCCGCCATAAAAAATGCTGAGTTCAGTGAACCCCTTTCTGACACCAAGTTGAGCTTGAGCATTGTTAGGGAAGATTTTGATGCTAATTATGTGTTAGCTATTGGCCCTCAATATAAATAAATACAATACATTAGCTTCGGTGAGCACTTTTTAACCATAAGCCATTTTCCTCCCATCGCTTGTATTGAACTGTACAAGTATACCTGAGCTTGTTTGATAGAAACTCACATTTTCCGATTCTAAAGGAATTTTTGGTACCTCTCCTCCATTGGATCAGTAAGTGTTATGCCAGTACTTGCTCTACCGTGCCTTTAAATTTCAACATGTTTAAGCTGTTGGCAATACTGTATATCAAGTTGATACATTAGCTGCTCTGGGCATTTTCAGTCATCTCTTGTGTTGTATTGTTATATATCACGCAGGTGTGTATCGCCGAGTTAGAATATGTATGAATCTATTTACCCTTGGGATATATGAGCTTGCATGTGCATTATTACATTTATATAGCTATCTCTTGAATTGGATTAAAATACATTATGCCAGTGTACTTAGAATGTCTGTGGGTATGTAGTGTATGTGTGTGTGTATTTGTGGTGTGTTTTATATATACATAAAATGTGCATACCTAATACTGTGACTATAGTGAGTGTAAGCTTTTGCGCTTCGGTAAACAAATGCTATCTTACAATAGTGCAGGTGTATTCATGCAATAAAGTGGCCCGTGAGTGGACTTGTTGCACTTTACTCAGAACATTTACGTTTAAATGAAAAAACATATATAAGCATGTGTTCACATGCTGTTCTGGGGGGGATTTTTTTTTTTTTTTTGGGTTACCTGCGAGGCCAGGACGTGTTGCTGCAGATGGAAGGGCAGGCCCGGAGCCCCCGCTAGGCTCTGAGGGGAGGACGCCATGCTGCTGGTGTCCATGGTGCTCACCCCTCCCGTAGACACTGCGGCCAGTAGGGGCCCCATGCCAGCGGCCATGTTTGAGAAGGCGCCGCCCATGTTGAACTGACCCGGGTGCAGGAGGAACGGGTGCGCGCCCCCCAAGTGGTTGAAAAACTGCTGTCCCGTCAGGCCGCCGGCAAATCCAAAGTTGGGCATGTGGCCGTGATGGCCCATGTGCGCGGCCTCCGTCTGCACAGTTAACGGCGCGAAGGCGTCCTTGCCCGGCGGCCGGCACTCGTCCTCCTTGACCGGCTCCAGGCTGGGGCTCTTCACATCCTCCCCGGAGCGCGTGGTGCTGGAGATGACGGTGATGGGGCTCTGTCGAGAGTCCGCCCGGCCTCGCTCGGTCCTCGGGCTGCCGCCGTCTCGGGTTCGGCCGGTGGGGCCGCCGCAGCCGACGACGACGCCGCCGACGCCGCCTCCCCCGAACAGGTGGCCCTTGAGCGGGCTGGCGTCGTGCTCTTTGCCGTCCTCCGTCGTAGTCGAGATCTTGCTGGAGTCTGGACCGTCTTTGACGTGACCGTCTTTGCTCTCGTCGTCGCTGTCCTCGTCGCTGTCACACAAGTCTGGAGCCCCCCAGAAATGACAATAAATATCAAAATCGTTTCGTAACTTCGCTAAATGCAAAATCGCCGTTTACAATCAAATGGCCGTATGCGTACTCGGCACCCGCTAAATACTTGTTGCGTGAATTGGTTTGGTCGAAAGTTGTCTAAATATTCAACTTTATATCTGTTACCTTGTTACCTGCGGTTACATCATTAGATGTTTAATTTTATTTAATCCTCAATTGTGTAGGCCTACATGTATTTTTTTCCCGATTCACTTTATTCCACTTGTTGCTTTTTAAGCCAAAAAATGAAATGCCGATGACATTTTCAACAACACATGCATCGTCTGTTTTTTTTTGTAACGTACTTTCAGCATTCCGCGACAATGTTCTATGTGCAGTTCGACTCGAAATGGTGCGTAACTCAAATCCCGCTCAGCTCTTGTCATATATTTTTTTAAATTCAAGATCCCCATTGCAAATGTGAAATCAAGATTTCACAATTAAGCATTTTATTCGCAGTATTGGTGGGTGCTACGGAAGCGCGAGTCGTGTCTGCTGAATAGATATATTAACAATTAGTTTCGTGAAAATTCCATCAATCTTTTTTTTGTGTGTGTGTAATTATTACGTTAATAATTTGTGTCTGTTACCTTTTCAGGTTTTTAATTCCACGTTTCTAATCTTTGGATATGATTCAAAATATTAGAAACACCTCAACATGACAGCGCAAACCCCCAAGCACAAGAACGAAGTTAAATTCGTTAATTTCTAACATGAAACATCGCAGCAAATGATCAAGCTGCAATGTTAGGGCTACAGGTGTACCTGATGTTATGTCCCTTGAGCGAAATAATATCCATCTGCTTTAAATACGTATTTATTTATCTATCGATATCTGATGCGATCAGTCGGTTGTTTTTGATGCACCTCTTGTTTTTAGATCTGCAAGTGTGGCTGAAAATGTGGTTTCCCCCAAAATAAAACCGCAGAAAATGGGAAGAAATACGCTCGACGTTCGAATCAGAGGTGCAAGTGTACCTAATGCTGTGGCCTAATGTCACGCTTGCCAGAATGCGGGGGTGTCCCTAATATTTTGGCCTGGCCGTGAGTTACAAGACTTTATTTCTCCTTTCGGCAACGTCACCACTTGAAATATGTCAAGTTTACATCGAACCGAAGCAAAAAAAAAAAAAAAACCCTCAAAAAATGGCTTTTGTTCATTTAATAACATCATAGTTCAACAAGCAATACGTATGTATTATTTTTACTGTTCGGGGGGTGGGAGGAGAAATCACATTATTTACGTTTTAATGCATTAGCACTCTTGGATGACCCAATTGACGGTAGAAAAACACAAACCCGGCCACTTAAATGCACCCACGCGGCTGAGTATACCTTTGAGGTGTGGGGGCCCCACAGTGGACACGGCAGGGGAGGAGGCCTGACCGAAGCACTTGAAGGGGGCCTGCTCCCCGGAGGAGTCGTCCGAAGCTCCGTTCTCCTTCTTCTGCTGCTCCTCGTACGAGCGGATGGACTGCAGGGCCAACTGTTTCCTGTACAAATCACAATTTACCTTCATATTTCCGCACCAAAAAAAAAAAGAGACAACATGGCTGGAGAAAACCATGTTACCATGGCGACAAACGCCACACATTGCGCAATAAATCCCTGCTTGTGCTTGTAATAAAAGCGAGGTAAGTCAGTGAACGTGCTCCAATAGCAGCAATTTTTTTTTGGACGGCGTGCGGTGCCTGCTAAAAGAGAGCAACATCCCCCCGAGGGTCAATTTTGACGCTTTGACGCGTTTTAATCCAGCTAACGCGATTATTTTGTTGTTGTTGCAGCAGCAGCAGCTCTGACTTACCTCTTTTCCCGCCGGCCGTTGCCAGTGTCACGGAAGCCTTTGGCGAAAGGGTTGTGATCGATTTTAAGCTGAGTTATCTGCAAATACAATTACAACCAAAAAAAAAGGGAGAAAGAAAAGGCGTTGTAAGTCATCGTGCTTAAGGAACAACTGAACATCGGACACTGGCACTTATTTTTTTAAAAGCGTTACAAAATAAAGCACTGTGGTCAAATTAAAAACAGTCAAGCACAAAAGCTCATCGGCGATTTTTTTTGCTATTAATTGGTGCACTATTGTGAACTTTTTATATACACACTGACGTCGTCCAACGTCATTAGGTGTTGCCATTGCATAGTGTGACCATTTTCCCATAAAAGAATGCATGTATTATTTTTGTGTATGCATTTGATTTCACACACACACACACACACACACACACACACACACACACAAATGTAAGCACACAGCGTATAGTGTGACACGAAAAGCCTTTTCTCTTTCTCCATTCATGCGCAGAGCGTTGCCCTTCTTCTTTTTTTCCTCCCATTTCTAAACCGCCCCCCAACCTTTTTTTGCGCATGCAGCGAGAGAGGGCGTGTGTGTGTGTGTGTGTGTGTGTTTGAGTCTGTATGTGTGTGCCACTACCAAATCCCTTCCACGTGATTTAATTTTTTTTAAAAAGCATACTAACCTGCATGTGCAACATTCCTTCCCGCAGCACGTCTTTCATTTTTTATGACAACAAAACGAATGCACTTGAATGAACCGCGCATGCAACAAGCGGGGGTTGGGGGAGGGCGGGCGGGCGGGCGGGCTTTTCTTTCTTTTAATTCTTCCTTTTCGTTCCGATTTTGTTTACCTTGTCGTTCTGATAAGCGGTCACCGCGATGAAGTCGGTCTCGGGGAACACGTACGTCCTAAAAGTGCTGTAGGGCAGCTTGAGGATGTCGTTGGCCCTCACGATGTGAAAGCGAGGCTGATATTTATGCATGGAGTTCAAGATGGTCTGTCAAACACACAAACGGAGAGCGCCGAAAAATGTCAACACGCCGCTCTCGTTATTAATCCATAATCCTGTGGAAGAAAATGTTTCGTTAAAACTGGAATGCCACGTCGCAGAAAGCACCCGTTGCGTTACAAATTCGAAGGGAACATTTGTTCAAACTACAAACGAAATCATGCAACGCGCTGTTGCCAGAAATGGGGTAACCACAATATTAGTGCGTGTGTTTACGTTTGTGTATTTTGACAATGTGAGTCCTCCGTGTCAAGTGCTACAAAATAATTTATTGATCATATTCTGGCTAGTTCACTGTATTTTCGTGTGTGTGTGTGTGTGTGTGTGTGTGTGTGTGTGTGAACTCAAAATTTGAAGGCTACAAACTTCAATAAAATCGTACGTTGGGCAACTCAACCAAATCATTTTTGGTTTGCTCATGTAAAAAATTGGCATTTCCATATTTTACAACACAGAACGAAGAGTTGACAGAACTAATTGTACCTTGTATTGCCCCCCCCTCCCCATTTTAAAGATAGTAGGAAAAACAACCAACAAAAATGTTTTGGCGCAACCAGCTTTGCTTTGTTGTGCTAACTTGCATTGTCCCTATAAATGTCAATACTTTATGTTAAGTTGTTCCAACTTAAATTACTGTTTATAGCGTGTGTGTGTGTGTGTGTGTGTGTGTGTGTGTGTGTGTGTGTGTGTGTGTGTGTGTGTTTACAGTGTGGGTTTGAGCTTCTTTTTTTTCCGTGAAATTATTTGCAAAGCCACGTGAACGGGATCTCATTAAATTGGGCTGGTGTACTTGATAATATGACTGCATATGCTTCGAGGCTCTGAATTACACCAAACGCAAAAAGCAGGTGTGCTGAAACACACACATCCGTGTGTGTGTGTGTGTGTGAATATATATATATATAAAATGTATTTGCTGCTGTGCCTAATATTGTGGCCCATAGTACACAACACCTCCATAGTTGTTCATGCAATAACGCGAATTGTACTTTACAGCTCTTATGAAATACATGATTGTGCAAAGAAATCAATAAATAGGTAGGAAAATAGTAAAATGGACATACATTAGTGGAACTTACAAATCCATGCTTGTCGGAGATGTTGTTGGTGAGCTTGAGCTTGTGGAAGTTGACCACCTTGGACATCCACTGCTCGCCCGTGGCGGGGCTGTCCGGGTGGATGTACATCCTCTTCGGCATCTCCGGGTCGGCCTTGCCCGCCACCATCCAGCGCGAGTTGTGGAACTTGTACCTGCAGTCGTCGGCCGCCACGATATCCATCAGGAGAATGTACTTGGCCTTCTTGTCCAGGCCCGTGCACCTCACTTTGAAGGGGGGGAACATCCGCCTTGACGCCAAAGCACGGTTTTTTTTTTTTTTTTTTTTTTGCGGGGGTGGATTTGGTACCAGGGAATACGTTTGGATTGCATGTTAAAAGAAAAAAAGAAGAAAAAGAAACGGCTTAATTTAAGACGCACGAGTTTATGCAGTCAACATGTAAACACGCACGTACACACAACAAGAGTCAATGGAGAGTCAGCAGTCATTACAGTGCTTGAAACAAACACACACGCACGCGCACACACACACAATTGAAAGTGCGATCTGTCAGGTGTAAAGTTTAGCGAAATGAATGATCGGATTATAAGAACAAAATCTGTGTGTGCGCGCGCCTGTGTGTGTGTGTGTGTGTGTGTGTGTGTGTGTGTGTGTATACGCAAAGCTTTACTGGGGGCTTAATAACCGCAGGACAGGCCCCCCTCCCCCCTTTTAAATGCTGCAACACATTAAATCTCACCGATTTGTATTAATACAATAAAATATCATTGAAATGTTGTGCAGAAACGTTCACTATTCTCCTAACGTTCATATTTTTGGAGTGCAATTTTGCTCAGGAAATAATTTTATTTTTTTAAACTAACAGTTGAGTCAAAAAATAACCCAAGTATGGGTGAAAAAAGGGACCCACTACTTGACACAATTTGACCCAACTTTTATTTTTATTTTTTTGTACAAAACAGCCCCAGCCCAAAAAAGCAAATAATCTTGTCCAAAATAAAACCAACTAATTGGGTCAAATTAAACCAGTCGGTTCCTTTTTGATCCATATTTTTAACATCCATTTTTTTGTGATTGCTACCTTTTTGGGGGGGTTGTTTTACGTTGTGTCAAATTGGCCCAAGTGGTTGCCTTTTGACTCCTTATTTTTGACCGGGCTGTTTTCAGAGTGAATCCAGCACAATTTAAAAGCGAGACAACCAGACTCGATGTAGTCTCCCGAAAATCCGATTCAAGCTTCCCGATCCTAACGTCTACGTTTGACATGTCAAAGCAGCAGCAGCAGAGCGAGCTTCACCTTCCGGATTTAGTGATCACCATCTCGGTGCCCCTCTTGTGGAAGAGCTCCCACAGCTCCTTGGCTTCCAGGTGCACTTTGGGATCGTCCTCCACCTCCTCCTCGGGCTCCAGGCTCTTGAGCGGTCGGAGGTGCGCGGCGGCAGCGGCCGCCGCGGCGGCCTGGTGACCCAGCGAGGAAAAGTGGAGCCCGGAGTCGGCCGCTCCCCCCATCAGCTGATCCATGATCGGCTTGCCCAGGGCGCCCGGCAGAGAGAGCGAGCCGCTGGGGGGCAGCGCCAGAGCCGGAAAGAAGGGCGGCTGGTGGCCCAGCATGGCGCTCATGGCAAATTCCGGACCCCGGTGAGGTATAAACGGATGATATGCCATACTCGAGCCCTGGACGACTGGATCTCTCATCAGGAAGTTCATCCAAGTGCTTCGCAAGCAGTGCGGACGTGGGGCTTGTTGGAGTGTTTCGGACGCGGTGCGAAATCAAAACGAGGAGAAGAAGAAGGAGGGGTGGGAAATGTTCAAGAAGAAGAACAAGTCCTCCTTCAAACTTGAAGCATCCGACGAGAGTCCACTGTTCTTTTTTTTTTCGGGGGAGGGAGTTGGGGGAATTTAAAAATCAAAAGGCGAGGATGTTCCCCATGAAGAAAAGGAGCGGCTGCACTTGAGAGTTTTTGCCGCACACACACGAACCGACTCGGGTGCGTCACTCGAGTCTACGGCGTTGCATTCTTCCTCTTCACTGCGTCGCCATTCCCGGTTCAAAGGAGATACACGGAAAGGGGGAAAAAAAGGAGAGAAAACAAAAGCGCGTCCCTCCTTGGTTGGCTTTCTCGGACGCTGCAGCTGATTTCCCCCCCTACTTTTTTGAATCGTCCCCTCCTCGCAGCTTCCCGTGTCCTGCCTCGACTGGCTCCGCACTCCCTTGCGCCTCTTTACGCACGCACGCACACACACGCCGGGCGTCCCCTCGCCTTCACGCACATTTCTGGGAAGGACGTGTGCGGGGAAACAAGTCGTCCACGGAGCTCGACAGAAGAGGGAGAGAGAGAGAAGGAAGAGGAAGAGGAGGAGGAGGAGAGCGGAGAAAGAGAGAGAGAAAGAAAGAGAGTGTGGTAAGGTCCCAGCTCCGTGATTTTCCTAGCGCCTTCTGTGGCCCACGGGGCTCCACGCAGGATGGATGTGTTGCAGCGACTCCCTTTGATTGGCTCTTTGACGCTTTCGGACCAATTGTGAGGCACCAAGGGGGCGGGGTTTTAACAGGTCCGGGTGGAGGCGATCAGGCTGGAGTCTTATAAGAAGGTGTTTGCAAAACGGCAAAAGAGAAAGCGGGCAAAAAAAAAAATAATAATAGGAAAACAGTAAGAAAAAAAGGCTTTGCATGTGAATCGCCATCCCAACCTTGAGTCGGTCAGTCAATAAGTCGCTCTGTGTAGTGTGAATACGTCAACAAGCGGCACCGCGAGGCGCAGCCGAACGAGCGCGGCCAGCCAAGCCGGCGCAGCGACGCTCTTGCCCGGCTTGTTTGTTCGCACGCAGCCGCTCGTACCCCCCCGGAGCTCTTTTCAGACTTTTGGCAGCAAAAACACCGCCGATCCTATACGGTGACTTCATCGGTGTATTTCTGGAAAATTTTACGTTTGCGTGGCTGTGCCAATGCATGTCCGATTACTGAATACACGCATCATTTCCTGTTAGATACTCGAGTGAGAAGATCTGAACAAATAAGAATGGTAGGCGGGAAGAGGCGCTGGATGACAAGCTATATTGTTGCTCGTGTGCTTAAATATAAAATATTGCATGGTGAATGTCACCCCTATTCCTGATTAATTTTTAAATATTTAGAATTTAGCACTTAAATAAAATATATTTTTTTAAAAAAGCAAAACTGATTCAGGTTGTGTTGGTCCATGACAGCTCGTGCATGGAGGATGGTGCTCAGCAGTGCGTGTCTTATCATCTCTGGCATCAAAACAGCAACAGATATTGTGAATCATAACCAATCAATTGTGCAGGCAAATATAGAACACTTCCCGGCACAAGCGCACCATGCAGGCAACAATTCAATTTGAAGCCGCGCACATCATCTTGTGCGGCAGCTAAACGCATCCGCCGTTAGACGCGAGTATTATATTAATCCTTTTTTTTTTTATTGTCGTTGCGTGTTATCCGCATGCAAATGTCCCGCTTATGTGGTGTTATTAAGCGCGTCTGTCGTCATCCTTTCTCTTACATTGACAATGTTCTGCAGATTTAATACTTTGAAAGGTTTAAGCCTTGCGCGGATATGAATAGAGCTTATAGATTTGTGTACGCCGGAGTGATTGCGTTATTATATCGCAGCCTGTGCAGACAATGCGCACTTTAAATGCCATTTTAAGCCCAAATTCACAAGTAAACTCTAAGAGCTGTGACCACTCGGTCACCTCGGAGCAACGCTGTGAATTGTCAGTTATTTATCACGCTCCCCTGTGCTCCCCTTATCTCAATCAATAGTGCACGTGTTTATATATATATATATATATATATATATATATAAATATAATTTTGTGCAAATTAATTCTTGGCCACAATTTTAAAAACCGTTTTGCGTTTGGATAGCAGTAAATTTAGTGACTTTTTTTGCTTGCATCAAAGGTTGTTGTGTAACAAATGTTCCATGCAGAGGTTAAAATGCACGTGTGTATTTTCAATGTAACATTCATGTTAATGGGGTTTACATTCATTGCAAAATTAAAAAAAAAAAATTGGCTGCCTGGCACCTGTGTGTGTGTGGCTGGCGCGCGGCTGTGTGTGTGTGTGTGTGTGTGTGTGTGTGTGTGTGTGTGTGTGTGTGTGTGTGTGTGTGTGTGTGTTCATGCATACAGTGTGTCCCCCTGGGGGTTACACACAATGATATTGGGCTTATGTGTTGCCTGTTATTGATTTCCCGCAGAAAACAAAAGCTGTTGATAAGCCACAGACAAATCTGGCTCAGAGAGACACAAGAAACTAAATCCACCGGCTACATTTTTATATATTGATTTAAAAAAAAAAAAACAGTTTCTTTAATACAGGGTGTTTGTACCATCACTGTGCAATTACATTTTTAATGATTATATGTTAAGTATCGAAAGCAGGAGGTATGCAGTCCATCATACTAAAACAGGATGTTAATAAAACATACAGTCAGTGCGCAATGAGGTTCGAGACAAGCTGATTTTCATGTGTAGCCTGAGTGCACCTAAAATGTAATCAACGGACATTTTAAACATACAATAGAATGTAGGAGGTGGATATGTATTCTATATTGAATATTGTCTCGGGGTGGCACAGTGGTCGACTGATTAGCGCGCCGGCCTCACAGTGCAGAGGTGCAGCGTTCTATTCCGGTTCCGGCCTTCCTGTATAGAGTTTGCATGTTCTCCCCGGGCCTGCGTGGGGTTTTCTCCGAGTGCTCCGGTTTCCTCCCACATTCCAAAAACATGCGTTGCAGGTCAATTGAACACTCCAAATTGTCCCTAGGTGTGAGTTTTGAGCGCGGATGGTTGTTCATCTCTGTGTGCCCTGCGATTGGCTGGCAACCAATTCCGTGTGTTCCCCGCCTGCTGCCCAAAGGCAGCTGGGATCGGCTCCAGCACGCCCAGGACCCTTGTGAGGATAAGCGGATCAGAAAATGGTTGTATGTATATGTGGATGTGTATATATGTGGATGCATGTATCTGTATATTTATGTGGACACACACCTGTGTATACTGTGTATAGATTTGTCATTTCAAACAGCATGTGTGCAGTTTTTAGTTATGTGGCCATAAATCTGAATCCAAGAGCTGCATATGTGTTCTGTATTATTTAAAAAAAATAATAATAAAGCATTGCCAGTGTTTTTCGCAACGTCTTGTATTTCCTGCGCATGTTAAACCTAATTCACGGCCCCAAATAAGAATACAAAAGCAAGTTACCGTATGTGTTCTATATTAAAACATTTCTCTTTACAAAAAACATAGGTGCACAGTATATGGACACCTTCTACATGCCCGTTTTTCCCCATGAGTGGGATCATGCCTGAAGTCGTCTTTCCCAAATACACTGCCCCCAACCCGCGCGTCCATTAGAAGCACATTTCAATTTAGTGGAAGGTGTCATCAAATAGGAAGCGGTGTTGACACGGCTGCAGCCTCTCAGTCTCCTCGGCAAGCTGGACTTGGCTTCATTTGCTAAGCAAGTAGAGGACGGTCAATACGCTATATAAACTTTTACACGGTTAGGCCTCTCAGGGACTCAGAGAGGCCATTAAAAACAGAAAAGCTCCTGATTGATGGAGACCAACTTTGTCAGCGCGTCCACTCTCGGAAAATCCGTATTCACCCGTCACCAAAAGTGTACTTTTAGATGGGCAACGTTGTCACCCTAAAACTGAAATCTGTCTTTTATCTTAAATGCAGTCCACCCCCCCGACTCTCTCAATGCTGAGGTCACGGGTTCTATATGGAGCCCTGACCATACGCACAACAGCCATACTGTGTAGGTTCATTAAGCAAAGCTTCAAAGACATTCCTGGAATTGATCACGGAGCTGCAAGTGATGTAATGTATGCTCCCCTGTTTATTTGCAGATTGTTAATGATAAGCGAGGACAGACTTGGCGGCACCGCTCCCGAATGCAGGGGAGATTGCCTCGGCCCTAAACACCACGCGACCGAAGTGGGGGGGGGAGAGATCCCCCTCCAATGTGCAAGATTGTCTTATTCCAGGACTGTAATCGAGTCCAAACTTCCTTGCGGACAAGGTGTTGCAACGCGGAAGTGGACATGTCCAATTGGCGGCCTAATGGCTTTCCAAACGCAAGTCATTTTGCTCCCAAAAAAATCGAGGTGCGGCGAGGAATTGATCTGACACTTTAAACGGGGTGTAGATTGTAAAATGCACTTTCCAGAATCAACACGTTTTCGTCCATTGCCCGCAGCAACGATAAACTCCTTACCCGACGATATCACATTTCCGTCGGCCTTCCCCCCAGCCCGTTTCTAGCTGTTGATGAAAAACTATTTGAGTTAGTTCGGGGATGTGTTGATGGCATGGCGCGGGCCGAAAATGGGAGCATACGTTAGTAAGCTATCACTTCCGAAGGACACTAAAAACCAAACTGACAGAAGTGCCGCGGGACGTGGGGTCCTGCAAGTCGTTTTCGTGAGTGGCCGACCGTTGGCCGTTGGTTTTAATGCAATTCAAAATTTTAATTGCGGGTGAACGGCGTCGCAACATCCTACCAGCCAATCAAAAAAAGACAGTGATGATGTCATGACAATGTATACGTTATGTATACATCTATCTGTTGTGTATCAACAATATAAATGTATATGTACAGTAGATATGGATCAACATACATACATACATAATAGTGTTTTATGATAATACCGAACAATATTTATAATTTCATAAGTACCTGTGACTAAAAAGCAAAGCATGAAGAGTCTCTGTCATCCACATGTGCGGTCAATGAATGGGTGATCTCCTTGCAAATAGCCTCTCATATGTTTCTGTAGTTACAATGTCCAGGTCAATCCACTTCTTTGTTGACAATAGCACCGTGTGGTTTAGTCCAAAAAAAAAAAAAAAAAAATTTTATATATATATAATATATATATATAATATATATATATACACACTGTATATATACTGTGTACATAAAATAAAGTCCAGTACATGTGGCACCTCAAAACGTTGTTTCCCGAGATGAATAGCAGGGTAACAGTTTTATTTTTGTTGCAGTGAGTTGATTGTGTGCACAAAGGTCAGTCACCCGGTGGGCGGCTGTGAGTTTGCCGATAGCAGTTTGTTCACGATTGTCCAGTTGAAGTCTCATTTGGCCACCTCACTCGATGTGGCGTGGGCCCAAGAGTACGAAGTACAGTTCTCGTATTTGTAGTTCATTCTATCCAACCACTGTCTAGAACAGAGATAGAAGTGGCAGCGAGAGGAGTGCAGAGCTTCACAATTGTATTTTTTATTTGTATTTTTTTGCGTAATGTTGCGAAGAGTCTCTGTCCGCCGATTGAAAGTTTTTCAATCTCAAGCTGACTACGGTGAGAAGGGAAATCATTGTCGTATCATTCTCTTATCGTACAGCGCTGATGCACCTGAATCAAATTGTACTTCCACGTTACCGTTTACGATTTTGACTTTTTCTTAAAAAAACTTTCATCAGAAATTGC